ATATTTTTGAAAAAAAAATTCTATGTAAAATAAAATCAAACAATTCATACAAAAATCTTATTCTTTGTCAAGCTTTTTTAGATCTCACTTCTTTGTGCACAATTTTTTCCAACAAAAAAAAAAGTGCATGAGGTTAAAAAATTAAAAATAATAAAAATAAATAATAAATAAAAATGATATAATAGTGTTATAAATGATAATAAATAAAATTGTAATTATATGTTTTTATTCTCCATAAAAATCAAACATTTATTTATCTTCCTTTGATTTAATTCATTCATTATATATGTCATTAAAGCTAATAATAATAATGTCACACCCCAAAACCCAAATCCGAGGACGTGGCAGACGTCGTGCACTCGTGAGAGGGTCCCATAAATGCACAAGAGTCAGAACTTATCATACCACAATCTAATACCATCAAAATCTGAAGATAAAATTATAAATTTACTCTGATATCATAAAATCTCTAAATACAGTCTAACTTACAAGATCATGATTTATATCTAAATCTATGTCAAATTTACAAGATGGCTAGCCTTCTAACTTGTCACTTCCCTCGTTTCCTTGTCCTTGATTTCGCTTCCTAAAATGGTGGAAAAGAAAAAACTATAAGATAAACTTAGTAAGTAAAATATGGAGTGCCCCTTATTAAACTTATAGCACACCAACAAGTGTAATCACGAAAAATGGATACAGTACGGGGACGAAATAAGCGTCTCCTCTATAGGTCATGGCCAGTGTTATAAACCACCCACTAGAAGGCGCACTATTTGCTAGTGTATAACCCCCACTAGCAGGGTCACTTAAACGAACCGGTTCTATCAATAACATATCGACATGTGCTAGCGTTTATAACCCCCCACTAGCAGGGTCACTAATAACATAACCACATCGGAGACAAAACAGGCAGAAGTTAACAGAAAAACCATAATTCATTAATCACTTTCAAATCATCAGGACAATCAATCAAATTTCAAGTAGGCATGCTCAATTTAATGAAAACATAAAAATTTCACTTCAAATCAGTCATGTTCGTGTAAAACGGGTTTAATCCCGCCATCATTTCAAAAACAAATTAAAACATGCTTTTATTAACTGTACGGGCATTACCATAAATTTACTTACCTCACTTGCATAAAACTAAAGACTCGATCTCAGTGCTAAACTGACAGAACGATCAGAAACCTAAGCAAAATATCCAAGAATTAATACCGTACTATCACAAATTCAAAGTGAAAACTTCATTAGGATCACCTCTAATCACGATGCTATTTCTATTAGTCTTCATATGACCCGACATCTCCAAATTTATTCTTATATTACAAACTAAACATTTAATCCCCGTTAATTGTTGGCCATTAGTGCATGAATAGTACCCATGAACATTGCCCGTGAACAGTATCCGTGAACAGTAATCACGTAATGAACAGTAACTGCAACTTCCAAAAATTGACCAAAACACTAGCTAATTTCACGAGATTTTTCTCTAAAATCTCACAGCAGTCAATTAATACCCAAACACATAAATTCTTCCCATTTCTCACGGGCAGCATATGGAGAGCATGGCTTTGGCAAACCACAACTCACACACACTGAATTTTCTCTCCAAAACATCACAACAGCCTACTTAAACTAACTTCTACATGAATTAAGCAAAATCATGGTCCCATTTATTGCCGAATCCCCTCCTATTCCCAACAGAAAATTCGGACAACAATAGGGTAGCAATTCAACTATTAAAACTCAACATGGCAACAATTAAATGACTAATTTAGGACTTAGAGAAGTGGCCATCATACCAGAATTTAGCAGCAAAAACCGGAGCTGCAGTTGGGGGAAGGCCGCCGGCAGTGCAGGGGAAGCTCACGGGGCTACCAAAAATTGGGAGAACCAAGAGGATTTAGAGTAAACCCAAGCCAATTCAAGAAGGAAAAGAGGAATTCATGGCTGTTCTTACCGAAAAATCAAAGCAATTAGCCCCCACAAAGCAGGAGCAGCCGGCGGTGAGGACAGAGCAGATCCAGGATTTCCTGCAGGGGGAGAAGGTTTCTAAGCTCCTAAATCTTGTTCTTGGACAAGAAAAGAAGGATAACATCAAGCCTCCTTACCGGTTTTCCAAGTGGGGTTGTCGGCTTGGTTGGGTTCTTTTTGCATGGTGCAGGGGGAAGAAAAGAAGAGCAGAATCGGGCTGAAGAAGAAAGAGGAAAAGGAGAAAAAAAATCGGGTTAATTCAATTTTTAGTCTATTAACTATCACCTTGATTTCATTTTAGTCTAGAAACTATATTTTATTTCTAAGTGGTCTATTAACTTTCGGATTCATTTCAATTTCGTCTACTGGTTATCTTTGACGGAAAACTTACTATTTTGTTAGAGAACAATTAATCCTCTAACTATATTTGTTTTGATCTTTTAATCCTCAAATTTATATTTATTGTAAAAACAGCTTTTATACTTAAAATTATTATTTCTAGGCCCTGATACCAGATTTTTATTCGGGTTTTCAAAACTTAATTCAGATTACTACTAACTAATGAATAATTGATAGTATTCTACAAATAGAAACAATTAATGAAAATACCCTAAGAAGAATTAAAGAAATGAGAAAATCTCTTTCTTAAGAATTTGATTGTATTAAAGAAAGAATAAATAATGTTAAAAACTCTAGAAAATTGAAAGAAATAAAAGAAGAAATAAGGTCTATTAAAGACATTAAAAGCAATCGTTGAAAATTTTGCAATCAAATCGTAAAAATGTATAACAAAATAATTCTACAACTAAAAAGTGATATAGATAAAAAAATTTATAAGATCTAGACACAACTAGAAAGTGATGATTTTTGTTAGTAGTCTAGTAGATCTAATTCCACACTAACTAAGCTTAACATATCAGCCATTCATTAGTTAGTAGTAGTCTAAGTTAAGTTCTGAAAACCTGAATAAAAATTCGATATCATAGCCTAGAAATAATAACTTTAAGTATAAAAGTTGTTTTTATAGTAAATATAAATTTGAGGACTAAAAGATCAAAATAAATATAGTTAGAGGACTAACTAAATTCTATAATAGAATAACAAGTTTTCCGTCAAAGATAACCAGGTAGATGAAATTGAAATAAATCTGAAAGTTAATAGACCACTTAGAAATAAAACATAGTTTCTAAACTAAAATGAAATCAAGGTGATAGTTAATAGACTAAAAATTGAATTAAGCCAAAAAAAATCAGTCATCCTTATCCAAATTCTTCCCTCTTTTAAGTCCCTCAAGTTTCAAAATATTCACTATTAAGCCCCAAAATAATATTTTCTCACACAAAGGTCCTCAACTTAAATGCTAGAATTTCAGAAAATTTGGGATAGTAATAGTAAGATAATTGAGAATATTAAAAAGAGAAGTAGAAGTGGAAGAAAAGAAGATAAAAAGATAAGAAGGTAAAACAAATATTATTAGTACATATATTTATTATATTTTA